TTTTCTTTCTTTCCTCTCATTGTAATGATCTTTTTCTTACTTCCTTCATGATGTTTTTGGTATCACCACACAACTCTTTTAATTTTTGGTTATTCGTGTCTAATGATTCAAGAATGTTTTTGAGATGCCCTCAAATTTCCCACAAATGTAGTCAGTTTGATTTCTGTGTATTATAAATGGTGAGGCGCATGTGTATAACCACATTTTAGTTTTTTAAAGAGGTATATGCAATGAATAATTCACTGGTCTTACAACATTCTGATCATTCAATCTCCAGAATCAGTTCTATGAAAAAAGGGTAATATTTTCCACTGCTAATCCTTCCTCTTTATTTTTAACCTTCCCATTCCAATATCCAGTAATTACTGGTACATCTTGAGTACATGATTTATTAATTTCAGGCTGAAGATGTTGGGTGCCCAGGACCTTAGTCTTAAGGAACATGATATAATATTCAATTGGAATAACATTGCACAAACACAATATTCTGAATCCAGAAATATATTAAAAATACATTTTTTTTTCCTCTGGATAACGTCACATATCTGAAAAAATAATTTTTATGCTCCATGATATTAGTCAATGTTAGGAGTTTATATCTTCAAATTGGAGCACTCTGGCTGCACTTCTTCCAACATTTCATACATATATATGCACATATACCTAGAGCAAGAGAGAGGAGAGAGAGAATCCTGATGCGCCACTGTGGGTTAATGTGTTGGAATGCAAAGTTGGTTTGAACCATAAATTTGGCGGTTCAGGTTCACAAGTTGCTCCACAGAAACCCTATACAGGATTACTATGGGTCAGAATCATCTCAACGGTATTTAACAACATCTATAGATATATATGAACTTTTCACTTCAAGCTTTTTGTATAAAATATTCAATAAACTTATTTTTAACAAGTTATTCATTTTATTGAATTTTAACAAATTTTTTCTCTGATAATAAGTATAATTTATGCATATATTTTCTTACCATATAGTTAGTAGGGTGAAATGTTGTGATGCTGTCATACATGACTGCTACCCCAAACAAACCAACCTTTTCAGAGCATACTTGAAGTGATATGTTTTGCTCCTCAGAAGAACATATATTTTCATAATAATTTTGTGAATGAATAAATGAGTGAATGTTTTAATTATAGAATGCTTGACATGCCTGGCACCCAACGATGGCGGTGAAGATTAGGGTAAATAATTGCGCTCGGTCTGGTGAGGACATTGTTCTGGGAATTCGCGATCCCCTCAGGAAGGAACAGGAAGGAATTGAAGTGGATGGGTCAGATAGAATCCAGTCCTCATTCTGCATATCTCAAAATTCTTAAGAAACTTCTACAGAAAAAGGGAATTCATTTTGATGAAGGAAACTTGTCTGATTTTTTTTTAAGTTTGTTCAGATGATTAGTCCCTGGTTACCTGAGAATGGAATGTTGGATGAATCAGATTGGAAAAAAGTAGGGCGTGACCTGAAACTTTGGCTTATAGATCATAGAGATCACAGCGATGATCCTGTTCCTGAATAATGCTATCACTTATTGGTATATTGTTAAACAAGCTGTACTCGTGCTGAAACTGATTTGCTTGATGGGTCTGAGAATGATTTTTGTGATTGTGATGAGTCTTCATTGCTCCTAAATGAAATGAAACCAAAAAAAAACTTGCTAACAAACATCGAGCCCCTAAGTGCATAGTGGACTTAGCTGATGTGCAAGAGGAGTCCGACTCTTCTAGTCCCGATTTTGAGAAAATGAATTCTGAAGATGAGATTACTGTAAAGGAGGAAGCCATTGGTTGCAAAGAGCCAGACTGGTTTTATAATTGCCGCCGACCGCGGCTTAAAGGGGAAAAAAGTTAGTCTGTGCATCGGCGTTCCTGCCTCCAAGCTGCTATGAAAGAGGCCCATTGGCAGGGTAATCTCTTCTTTCCTTTCCCCTCGGTTAAAGCAGGGAGGGGAACGCTTTTCATGCGGACAGCCCAGACATTTTTGTCGGGACTGTCCCCAGGAAAAGGGTTAGGAAAAACCTGATAGTATTGTTCTCTTGATGCTATTGACACATACTGGGGTCATTTGGCAAGTGCAAGGACCTTTAGAATGGATTAATTTGTCTGCTTCTTCCTCTCCCTAACCCTGCTGATGCAGTTTCTGCCAAAAGTCTTTTACTGATCGCCGGAGACTTCAGCACCGAGTTGATTGCTGTTACAAACCTCCTTTCACCTGCGTTCTGATTCTTATAGCCTACATGATGTGTTACTAACCAAGGGGCAAAGATAGTCTTTTCACAGGACATTGTAGATTCCAGACCAACTAATTC